GTAGAAAAAGAAGAGTATTGTTTGGGAGTTCGGCACATATCGTTCACCCTTCTCACCTTTCATACAATATAAAATAAAGAAAAACAATAAATACTACTTCCGAAGAGGGAGATCACTCTCTCTATAAATCCCCACACTCCAAAAAAAAACAAAAAAAAAACACGAAATCTTTCATCATTTACACACCCCTATTTTTTTTTATCACCAATCTGTTTGAGCAACCCCACCGACACAAAGAATGAAACAATCATAAAGACAGTATAAAAATCTTTTTTTTTTTCCTTCTTCATTTTTCGCTATTATCAAGCAGATAATCAAGTCAAATAATAATAATAATAATAATAATAATAATAATAATAAACAGCATTGACCAATCACCACTCCTACTAAATAAGAAGAAACAAACAAGAAGAGGGGGGAAGACAACACACAGAGAAAAAAGATCACTTTCAACAAGTTTTGCAATTACCATTGGAAACGTTTCAAATGAAAAACAAAACAAAACAAAAAAAAACAAAAAAAAATTTGCTTTCTTCACTTTTCCCTCTACACTATCTCCTTTTATCCCTCCCTCACTCCCCCCAACACCCCCACTGATCTGTTTTGTGGCCGTACCCTTCCCCTACTAACATTCTTATTACGCAGATGACGACGTGGTATTATTTTGATTTAACGCACACATAAGTTCTGCCTTCTCCACCGCAGCCACTTCCAGTAATGCCTTACACCTCTGCAATTCTCTCTCCACTTCCGCCAATCTCTGTTGAAGCATGTATTGCTCCATATTATCTGATGATGATGATACAGTGCCAATAGCGGCGAGCAATTCCTCCGTTGCATCTTCCTGCAAGTCCACAAATAAACTATCCATCTCCTGTGCAATGGTATCATCTTGTGGATAGAGTGGTGGGAGTGGTGAGGCGACAGCTTTAAAGAGTGATTCAGGCAACCACTGTCCCCATTTTTCTGCAAATTGATGAATGCACATCTCTGTTGCACGGTGTTCCGCTTCAAGTGGGACCAATAAACGACGAGCGGCACGTCGTAAAATAATACGACGATGTAAAACTTCTCGTGCTGCTTCTAGTCCTTCTGGGAGAAGAACCAATCGTTTATGATGTTGAATAACATGATCTACAATAGCAGCACAGTAATGACGACACTTTTGTTGTCGTTTCGTAATTAATGCAATATCACTTATAATAGTTCGCACCACTTGAACTTTACGCACTACTTCTTGCATTAACTGAATAATGGATGATTCATCATTTTTATCCGCTGCTGCGGTAGTGTAACTCTGCCATGCTGGCATCTTTTCAAGATCTGAAACGACTTGTATCTCAGCCTTGATAGCCTCAACAACTGTTGGAGCCATGGCCCGTGCACTCTCAAGGGATTTGGCAGCTTCTTTTAATTTTACCTCACCTTGTTGAAGTGCGATATGAAGATGTCTTCTATCTATAAGCTCAGTTGCATGCGTATCTGGACGGTAAAAGAGTTTAATACTTTCTGCCCTTTCAAGGGCAGCATGAATGTTTTCTTTTGAGAGAACAAATTGTTCTTCTGTATTTGTAAGCAGTTCCGCACATGCCTCCATCTCTCTCTCCATTATTTGCTGATGAAGTGTGAGAGGCACTTGAAGTGCTGATATGGCCTGTCGGAGATTCTGCCAACGTTCTTCATCTTCAATACTCGTGCCTTGACTTTCCCCTTCAGCTGGACGACAGCGATGACTTAACTGTTCGCTTATCAATTCAGAGAAAGCGGGTGGGGCAAAGAGCAACAACTTCTGTCTATCTTCCACTATATCATTAGGATAAAGAGGTTGAAGAGAGTTGTAGTCAAATAACTCAACATAACTCTTCTTATTTCCATCTATACTTCCAACACTAACACTATTACTGTTTCCCACTGGTGAAAACCGGAAATTGTGGATATACGCCATAATGTCTGAAACAAAAACATTCGTCGATGTGGTGATATTCGTTTGTGACAACAACGAAACAGAGGAACTCGCCAAAAGAGAGGGGGACTTCTGATGTCGCACCTCAAAGAAGAAGCGAAGTCCCGTCAACGCAACGACGAGCTGCACAACGACGCTCATATCTATTTCTTACTCGTAAATAAGATAATAATAATAAAAAAAAAAGAAAAAAAAATTGAGTATGAAGAAGAATAAATAAAAAGAGAGACATTATTATTATTATTATGATTAATAATAATAATAATATTGATAGTATCAACATTCGTATCTCGTGGATACTGATTGTAGACAAAATAAAGATGATAACAATGACACGATCAATTAATCTTAAATAGACGATGGTGAAAGGCAAAACAGTGAAGAGGAATCCAAACCCAAATAAAATAAAAAAGAAATAAAATAATAAAACTAAAGGAAATTGCTGGATTATTGTTTTTCGTCCTAGTTATTTAGGCGAACACACAGGTATTCACACACAGAAAAAAAAAGGAAAACTGAAAATATTAATTAGTTGCCAAAATACGTACACTTTCATTTCATTCGCTGTGTCGAACCATTGGAGAGAAAAAAAATACATCATCAACAACTGGCAAGAAAGATGAAGAGGACATTTCTTCTTTTCTTTCTTGTTTGTTTCTTTGTTTATTATTATCCTTTCCCATACTTTTTCCTCTGAACATCCTCGTATTGCGCTCTACACATATTCACCCCATGTTGTGTGCGTATGTTTCTGGGATGCATTATTTCTTCTTTCTCACCTTAAAATAAGAGGAAAACAGAATAATCACATCGTTCTTCTTTTTCTTTTTTCTCCTCCCTTCTATCCACATTTCCATTAATAAAAAAAAGTAGATGGACATTACAATATATAAATAAACGTATAATGAGTTTCCAGCAGTACTATAATAATAATATTATTACTGTTATCCACTCTCAAAGAACAGCACATGCGTGTTGATTGTTGTAACCACCTCTGAAACACCGGCGAGAGTTTTCAACGGAAGTCCCATATACATCAAATGTGACAAGACTAGGAAGAGAATTCTGAAGTTTATCCACGTTAGTGATTTGACTGCATTTCGTTAATGTAAGTATCTCTAACTGAATACAATTACACAAACCAACTATACCATTATCTGAAATACTTGTTCGTCCCAAATGAAGTTCTCTTAACACATGTAATGATCCCAGACCATTTACACTATTTACATATCGGCACTCATTAAGATTTAATTTCTTTAAAGCATAACAATAGGAAAGACCCATTATACCTTCCGTAGTAACACTTGTTTTGGAAAGATCAAGATCTTCTAATCGATATAGTGATTGAAGAGCATTCACATTTGTAATCCCAGTACATTCTGCCATATGAAGTTTCTCTAACGTTAAACAAGAGGCAATGTAATCTACAGAACTATCTGTTATTCCAATATTTCGTATTAACAATTCTGTAAGTGTTGACAGTTGAGCCACACTGGATAAATCTGTAATGAATGTACAATGCTGTAAATCAAGACGTTGTAGAGAATGACATTGTGTTAATATACTATGAATACTTAAATCAGTCATATTACTCTTCTTTAATGATAACTCTTGAAGTCGTGGGAGTTTTAAATACTCCAAAGACTCTAAACGTTTACATTCTAGAAGAAATAACTCTCGTAGTACATGACTTTCTTTTAATCCACTCACATCAATAACATTCATTTGATACCCAATAACACGTTTTAGTAATGTTAAAGGTTGAAGAAAATGAAGATTAGTTAAAAGACAACATGCACTAATATCAATATGTTCTAATGAAACACATTGAGAGATATCTGAAATACCTTCATCTGTCACATATGTTCCACAGAGATCCAATATTTTAAGTTTTTTTAATGTAGACATACAACGTACATCTGTAATAAATCTACAGTGACGAAGAGATAAAAACTCCAATTGTGTACAATAAATAATAGGGATAAGACTGTCATCCACTATGGCTGTACCTTCAATATTTAAACCAAGTAAATTTTTTAGTGTTTGTAAAAATCCTAAATCACTTATAAAACGACAATCTCGTAAAGAAAGGTATTTTAGCCTTATACATTCTCGAAGAGATTGTATTCCAGCATCTTTTACACAGGTATCACTAAGATCTAAACGCTGAAGTGAAATTAATCCACCTGAAAACGAAGTATCCTCTACACCATTACAATAAGCAAGATTTAACTCTTCTAGTCTTTCACATGTTCGTAAGGCCCGTAGCCAAGGACTACGTACATGTGTTCTGGAAAGATCTAGTTTTCGTAAGGAAGTAAGTGCAGATATCCACTGAACATCCGATATACAACGACAACAGGAGAATTTTAAATATTGAAGTTTTCGACATTGGGCTAAGGATGCACAACCTTCATCTGTTACCCAATTTTCTGTAAGATCTAACTTTAACAGTTTATGAAGACTTGAAAGAGATTCTACACTGGAAAGACGATTAAACCCCAAGAGACGAAGTTCTTCCAAGTTAATAAGATTTCTTAAACCATAGATACCATCATCAGAAATTCTATTTCGAGATACACAAAGTACCTGAAGGTTTATTAAAGATCCTAAAGAGTTTAAACTTCGAAGTTTCATACAATTCTCAAGTTGTAAATGTCTTAATGACTTTAATTGACAAAGAGGATCAATACCTTCATCTGTTATTGTAGAATTTAATAAACACAATTCGGAGAGTCGTTGAAGTGAAGTGAAACATCCTAATGATGTGAGACCACGACAGGAATCAATAACAACACGTTCCATATTTACACATTCAGAAAAGTAAGACATCATCTCTTCACTTAATGGAGTTTCAAACAATTGAAGATGTCTAAGATTCTTCAAAACACCAAGGTTGGTTATGCCAGATATATAAAATGTTGATACCTCACGTTTCTCTGAGGCACGTGTATTGAGAATGGGTGTCACACTACAAAGACTAACTTCAGATTCACTAAAACACTGTCGCACTGTGAGGGCTTCAAGTCCTCTAGACATGGATAATACATGCATCAATGTACATGAAATGGCAGATTTCTGTAATTGTATTTCTCTTAACTTTAAATTCTTCCGGAGATGCTGTAATAGTGGTACACTCTCCTTACCTACATGCTCTAAAAGAAGTGAAACCAATGGGTATCGTGTGATCCACCATAGACTAAGTAAAGTCAATTCAAGAGATGGAGTTGTACCCACAGTGAGTACCAGTTCCTCTCTCCTCATATTTCGTCCCTCACGTGGAGAAGAAATTGGGGAAGTAGTAGAAAAAGTAGAGATATTAATACTAGTATTAGTAGTATTACTATTATTATTAGTATTATTATTATTATTATTATTAGATAAAGGCAATAAAGGGCAACCACCACTGGTAGTAAGGAGAGAATCATTGTAAATAACATGGAGCTCCCCAACTGTATAGCCTCTGCGTTCCGCCTCTAAACGACAAGAAGGATTGGCCGCTACAAAGGCAAGTGGAATACGATCTTGTAAATACGACATAATAGATGAAAGTGAAAGTTGTGATGATGGCAGACTAGAGGAACTCGTCAAGTGCGAAGCCATCTTTTTTTTTCTTTTCTTTTCTTTTCTTTTTTTTTTTAAATGTTGTCCAAACACGCGCCCACAACCTTCAACAATGAAATTCTTTAAAGAACCTTCCCCAGGGGGCAGAGGTTCTGAGAGAGGAAAAGGAAATAATAATAATAAAGAAGAAGAGAAAAAGAAAAAAAAAAAAAACCAAAACAAAACATATAGAGACCTTGACAATACACCGATATATATATTCACAGATACATATAGAATAACCGAAACAAACAAACAAACAAAAAAAAAACAACAACAATTTTTAATAAATAAGTATACACATATATATATAATACACATAACCATAATAATAACAATAATATAAAAAAACAAATACAGATGAGAAAATAGTAAATTGCTTCATCATCTGTCAGTATATATTTATATTTAAATAGCAAACAAGTTATTCTCTTTTTTTTTTTCTTTTTTTAACCAAGAAACAGCAATATGTATCAAGTACTTCTTAGAGAACCAATAAAAGACATTACACTTTCTACAGCAGCAGCTTCAAATTGAAGTTGATCATACAAAGGACATGCCTCTAATGTTACTATGCTGTTCACATCGCCTGTGATGGTCATTAGAGATTCCGTTACCGATGGCCTGTGAAACGGAAGAGATTGTTGACTGGGACCAAAAAGAATCACAGCTACTATAAATAATAATAAACCCTCAAATCTTGATATCAAGTGGAAAAGAAGTATAGAAATACGCAAACGCAAACTACATTGTTGTTGCTGTTGTTGTTGTTGTTGAAAGTCACTGACAGACAATTTAAGCATATTTATCCTACTAAAAGATGAATTCCATATCTTTTCAATTGACCTTTGACAAAATGAAGACTTTTTTGCTTTTTCCTCCAGATAAGATCCGACAAGTTCATCTGGAAGCCAATTATTATTTCCCATAGAAAAGGAATTTTCTGGTGTAAGTACCGTTTCGAGAAGCATCACTTTTGCCCCACCACTATTACCCACAATACCATAATTTTTTAAATCTTCATACCATTGACTTAACCCAATAGCACTATTAGCATTATTTCGATCATAGACAAAAATAACACCACCAAAAGACATGAGACTAATAGGAAATTGTCCACTTCGACCAAAATTACGATTTCCACCTAATTCAATAAATGCCACAGATGAATTTTCATTAGAACTTTGAGAAGAATATTGAAAACGTTGTTGACGCTTTGTTAAAATAACTTCTACATAATAACCAACCGTTGGTCCCCATGTTGAATTAAAATCATCCTTTTCTGGCATCATTGCATGACGTAGGCGCCGTAAAAATAACGTTTTCCCAACACCTGTATCACCAACAACGAGAATACGAAGTTCATTCTGTGTATTCATTGTGGTCGTACTACAATATTTACTAAGGAATCAATTATAGTTTATATATAAATATATATATATCTTTTTCTTTTTGTACTTGTATGTATATGTTTGTCTTGCTCTCGTTTGCTGCAAGAACCACTAAAGAACCACCTTCCCAATGGGCATTCTAGTGAGACCAAATAAAGAAAAAAAAAAAAGCAATGATATGATACAGGAAATACAGCTCAAACAACAACAACAACAAAAAAAAAAAACAACAGATTCATACATCATTCCTCAATAATAATAGTATATATAGATAGATATATTTATGTACGTGTATATTCAACAAACTTTTTTTCAGCGTTTACTCCTTCGTACGCCAAATCTTCACACTCTTGTCACTTTCTGCAGTAATCAAACGTGTTCCTGAAGCATCAAAGGCGATGCAATTAATACCACCTTCACCTGGAAGTGTCCCTGGAATAGACCTTGTCTTGGTGAATTGATACGGTGGTCTTTTCATTTGTCCACAATCATAAAATGCCAGTTTTCCCTCCTGACTTCCCACAGCCAATACATTGCGTGGACTGATGGCACAACAAGTCCAACGGTAACTCTCTGCATCTTCTTCCTTTTCCACATGTTTGCCTTTTTTGCTGGTGGATGCGTTAAAGAGAAATTCTCCCTTTGGAAGAGACCAAAGACGAATATTATCAGCTCCACAAGAGACTAATGTCCCTTGACGAGAAATAGAAAGGTCTCGAACAGGTTTTTTATGACGAGTTAATCTTGTAAAAGCACGACCAGAGGCAATATCCCAAAGATAAATCATACCATCACTTCCACCTGAAATAACTTGTGGATCTGCTTGCTGTACAGCAACGGACATAACACTGTCTGTATGTCCCACAAGTAGATGTACACAAGAGCGAGTACGCACATCCCATATACGTACAGTTTTATCACGACCACCACTCACAACAATATCTAATGATGGATGAACACCTACGGAGTGAACAGGTCCTTTGTGACCATGGAAGTCACGTATAATTTCATTACGTTCAAGATCCCAACACTTTAGAGAACGATCATCACTACCAGTAAACATATATGGTGATAATGTACTAAGCGATATAGCACGTACAGCTTCCTTATGTCCAGTAAGATTAAGCTTTAGAGCTCCAGTTGTAAGGTCCCACACCTTCACTACCGCATCTCCTCCACCTGTTGCAAACCAAGAATTACTAGGATCTACTGCAGCACTCCACACCCATCCACGGTGTCCCACCAATACCTTTGACATCTTCCAGGAAGGAGGTGGAATATAAGTTTCATCGCGTGATTCAGCATTCACAACGGTCGAGGATACTGCTGTCATGCGAGATTTTAAAACTTTTGGATCAATAGAAATAATGGAATCTTCTGTTCTAGGACGTTTCTCTGCTACTCCCATTCCTGTAGTAGTAGTAGTAGTAGTTGTTGTTGTTATCGATGATGGTTTTATTGTCGAAGCATCACCTTGTGATTTAGCAGATGGGAGAAGCATAAGTGCATTATTCTCTTCTCCACTCTTTTTATCCTCCTCTTTGTTGGAGGCCGATGGTGGGGCATGATTTGGGTATTCTGCGCGAATTAAAGCGTCCATTCGCATACGCCAACCGGGATCTGTTGTTTGTGGGACTCGCAGAAGTGCCACTCCACTCAACTCACGCGCAACACGCGCATTCTCCTGAACAAGGGCACCTATATCGTCCTCCATGTAATTCTCCAATATGCCCCAGGCCCCCTTTTCTTTTGTTTCTTTTTCAATAATATATAATAATAATAATAAAAAAAAAACAAAGAACAAAAAAAAAAGAAGGGTACAGTATACATAGAAGCTCATTCATTAGGGAATAATATATAATAATAAAAATAGAACCAAAAAAAAAAAAAAAAAAAAAAAAAAAAAAAAAAAAAAAAAAACAGAGGAAACAAAAGAAAAGAAAAAAGTAGATATCAAAGGTGATGAAGTTTTTCTTTCGTGTTACAACTGTTGATTTCCCTTCGTCTCTGTCTTTTCGGATTCCTCTTCCTTCTGTGAATGTTTTCGCCGCTCTCCTTCCTTTTCCATATCTGAAACTGAAGATGTAGATGCCTCCACTTCTTCCAAATCCTCTTCATGAGTTGCTCTTAATGCCGTGGCTGGATCAGAATCTGGTACATTAGACTCCTGCCATGTACTCTTGCGTACCTGGAGATCATCTGCAAGTCCATCAAGAGCACTATTTTTAAAAAGTTCCATGAGAAGTGTTTTTGTGTACACGACTGGTAAATATCCATCACTTACCATGGCAGCATAAACTTTTAGTGCTGCCTCACGGGCAGAACCAGCTACACACGCACCAAGAACAGTGTTATAAGTGATTTCATTAGGACGCACATTCGTTGGATCTCGCATTTCCTTCAGTAATTCCACTGCCGGTTCCCAAACTCCTGCACGACGACAACCATCCATAGCGGCTGTATATGTGAAAACATTTGGTGCCACACAGAGTTCTTCACACTCTCGCAAAATTTTTATAGCCCTTTCCCATTGACTCGCACGTGCACATGCATTTACTAATGCTGTCATTGTACGAACATTTGGGGCAACTTCAGCAAGTCTCATATGTGCATACATTCTGAGTGCAACATCTGGTTTTTCCGCTGCAGCACATGCATTTATAAGAGCTGTATAGGTGTAAACATTAGGTTTCACATCACTTTTTGTCATATGTGTAAATACAGACATTGCCGCTTCCCATTTACCGGCACGACCACATGCGTTAATTACTGTAGTGTAATGAAATACATTGCTCTGTACAATGTTAGCCTGTTGCAGCTGCGTCAGTGTAGAAATGGCACCTTCCCAATTTCCCGCTCTTGAAAGCGCTACAAGTTCATCTGTTAACCAACGTGACGCCCACCCAGCAACACGAGCTTGTGAGAGTGTCGCCATTATTGCTAAAAAAAAAGTAAAAAAAAAAATGAATAAAAGTTCTCTCAGTCTCTATCTCTCTCTTTCTCTCTTACACAAGAGACAAAAGAGTATGTGCTCCGTCAGGAACTTTCGCAGTCTCCTCCTAGAGCCGTTTTAGCTACGTTTCATAACACGTATCCATGTAATGTTTATACAAAAAGAAAAGAGAGAGGAAAAACAAAAAAAAAAAAAAAAAACATATTAAAAGAATATACACATATATATCAATAATTTATGTCAGAAGGAAAATAATAATAATTAAAAAAACCAAACATCAAAGCAATATAGGAAATACAAGAGTATCGGTAACTTCACCCACTCTTCCACAACCCAAAGAAATTCTTTTTTTTTTTTTTTGTGTGTGTGTGCACTACACATAAGATTTCACGGTACTGTCCGACTGCCGTCCCCGGAGGGCGAGTAACAGATCGTTCTTACTGCAAGGATCAACATATTGACGGGGAACATCATGATACTCCATACCACTATGTTTGGAATCACCGCGACTAGGACTCAGAGATGAACTTCGTGCACCACGACCACTGGATAAATTAAATGGCGTAATAATGGTACGTTTTGGTCCGTTGCAGGGCAAACCACGTCCAAGGTTATTATACTTCTCTTCTTTTTCCTTCAGTCGTTGTTTTGCCTCTGCTTGTCGTTGCAGGTATGCTGTTACTCCTGATACGTACTTCTCCACATGTTGTTCTCCTTCTGAAGAGGTTTGTTTTTGGCGTCGTTGAAGATACTCATCAGTACTTGTTCGTGGTCGAAATGTACAGACACAGAGCTCTTCCATTGCTTGTTGTTGTTTTTGCTGCCGAAGTTGTGCCTCACGCTTTTCTAAGGCTTGTTTCTGTCGTTGATAAAATTCCGTAGCTTCGTTAGGTGTTACAACTTTGGCACTCCGTTGTTCATGACTATTTTTCTCTGTAGTTTCATTTTCTTCTTCATCCACGTCAAAAATGGAAGGATTAAAAGCTCGGCGATTACGAGGAACAGAAGCTAAACGTTTTACTACATCCTTTTCACGGTTAGTATGTGCAATTACATAAGCCGTTCCAGGAGCTAATTGTGGACGAAAAGGACATTCTTTAGCTTTGATATGATCTTCTCTACGTTTTTTTACTTCCTTACGTACTTCTTGTGCATTCAAGTAAAGTCGTTCTACTTGTTGTTCTATCATATCTTGATCTACCCGTAATACCGCCGCCCGTTCATTCTGTTCTAGTGCAGAGGCAAGATTTCGTTGATGTTCCTCCCGAACACGTTGATAGATTTCTTGTCTCTTCACAAAATCCTTATGAAATAAGGATCGATGTTGTCCATGTTGAATCCAATCATTTGTAAGTGGGTTTGTAGTAGGCTTGTGAAGACCACTTCTTTCTTCTCCTAAACGTCGTGCTGCTTCAGCTTGTCGTTCCTGCTGACGTCGCATACCATCTTCATAGAGAGCCACACCTCTATCTCGTATATCTTTTTTCGCATTTCGAGAACGATCAATAGCATCAGATGTAATACATACCTTTGGTTTAAAGGTATGTTCTCCAAGAAGTGCCTGCTGAGCTAGTGCTCGTTCTGTTTCACGCTCTATAAGAATCTGTTTCGAGCGATCTGCAATGTCTCCTAAATGTTTTTCATTTAAGACACAACTACGTGATCGTCTAGAAACTGCTTGTTTTTGTTGTTGGCGTATTTCTTCAAGTTCTTTTCGCTGCTGTTGTTGTTGCATAATTTGACGACTTTGTTGTACAGATCTACCGTAGTGAAGAAGCCTCTCTTCCACAGGTACGTTTGATGTCTGTACGTTAAATGGTAACTGATGTTCAGAGACAGTGTTTACATGAGGATGAAAGGCATTCCGAAGAGCCGCCTCTTCACGTCTTCTCTTTTCATCTGCTAATTGCGCCAGACGAGCTTCACGCTCCTTTGCGCTATTTGCAAGACGTTCAAATACTGGTACACGTTGTTGTTGTTGTTGTTGTTGCTGGTGCTCTTGTGAGGGATGCGATTCCTGTACACCATTAGTACTGGCACGTGATATTCCCACTCGTGGTTGAAAGGTACACTCTCTTTCCATCTCCGCACGTAAAAGCTGTTCCCGCTCATGTCGTTTGAGAGCGCGGATTCGCTCTTCCATCAGGTGACGTTCCCATGATCCCAAAGGATAATGCGCTACAATCGCTTCTGGTGATTGTGGTGGCAAATTTTCTCTATACTGATCGTTATCGTTGTCATCGTTAATATTACTACTGCCACTACTTCTCGGAACCGACTTGGGTGTTATCGATGTATCATTCACCCCATATGCCATCATCTATGGAATTCAAGGTGGCGTGTCTCCCATTCATTTGTTTAAAGTAACACACACACACGCACATAAGCAAAGAAGAAGAAGAAGAAGAAGAAGAAGAAGAAGAAG